ATGAGCTTGGAGAACGTTCTAAATGGGTTCAAGAGCTCGAGGAAACGCGTGATGCTCGAATTGGTGCTCCCAACGCGTCCACTATGTCGAATTCATGGCCCATCACTGCTCTTCGGTCCGTTGTCGTTCACGTATTGGGCGACAAGATGTCTTCCTTCTTCTTTTCCTTCTTTAACACAAGTCCTTCCACCTCCTCCAACCCAAACTCTTCCACCACCACCCCTCAGAGAAGACCCAGACGCGACTGGGAAGCCCGACGCGATCTATACCTATTGACAGGCGGACGCGGGAGCTACCTCGTGCTCCTGGGCATTGGCGTGTGTGCCGTTGTTTTGAAGGTGCTTGTGAGGAGATTGACTGGGGTTGGGATGTGGAGGAGCAGGAGGTAGCGTTGACTTTGAGGGTGGGAGATGCTTTGCACTTTTATGACTTTTATGACCTTGACGACTTTTTTCACGATCTCTTTTTAATGATTGACGCTGACGAGGAATTGAATAAATGAACGCGCGCGTATGCGAGCGTTTTGGGTTTTTTGTTCGTGTATATCTCTTACTTATACCTTATGTATCGTTTGAATCTTTGATTAGGACTGAATGTTTGATAGCGTCAACCGTCAGCCATTGCAGTTTGCGCGATGTCTGCTTCGTTTTTCATAATCAGTTCATCGTTTCTTGTGTTACATACCAACAGATCTACGGTCCTGGTACATCAACCCCTTCTGAGCCTAAATCCTGACATATTTCCATTCCGAGAGCATACACCCTCTCAGATATTCACGAATCAATCAAAGTAATATTACCTAGCAAAACGGTGAATATCAAATACCCCGGCCGGGGGGGAGGAGACCACTGACCCTCATTCACAACTGCCAAAGAAAATCAACAACCACCTAGTGACCCAAAGGCCAATTGGGACTCACAGCCTTTGACACCCTTGGAATTAATCGCCATGTATCCTGAATAAATATCTGTTCCGACAAAGCATGAACAAATTAGCGACAAAGCAGAAAAGGAAAGAAATACTTCTATTGACGAGGACTCCATCCGTGTAAACGATCTCATCTTTGTTTATTGATAGCCAGGCCCAGGTGGGATGTTTTACATTGTAGTCTGCGGTGGGATACTATAAGACGAGAATCGGATTATCTCAGGAACTGTTACTCACCGAAAGTACAAGTCAACCGAGCGCGTTTCGTGAAATTTGAATCTGGTCCATCTGAAAAAGCACGGTTTGTTGCCGCAGTGTCTAGTGGATATCTGCCGAGAACTTTACCTGATGTAGGCTTAGCCTTTTGATCCGCTGCTGTATTGGCGGTTGCATTGACAAGGGCTACGGGATCGCCTTCATCACTACCCGGATAAGCGTCACCTTGGAAGGATATGATGTTGGCGTCGTTCATGGCAGCGTCACTAGTCATGTCTTGGAAGAGCTCCATGTCCTTGTAGAGTGCATGACCGGGCGTGACGAGGCCTTCAGCTTTTGCGATGCATGCTTTCAATGACCCGGCGGTATGAGGGGGAGCGATGAAGACGGCGTTGATGCGCCCTAACGACATGTCACTCTCGTCAAAGGACGTCTTTGCCTTTTCTTCATCCCCTTCTCCTTCTGATGAGTAAACGCGATAGTATACTGCGAAGCTGATGAGTGCGCTATTTAGGTAGGAGACATCGACAAAACTTGCCGTAATGGATATCGGTATCATCAGAGCGTTCCGGGAGCTTCTCCGGCTGTGTAACGTCCTTGATTCTCTTCTCCGACTCGACAACCAGCGCGATCGGATCTTGTTCAGACAGGCCTGGCCCAGAAGGACCATAAAGAGAGAGGCGGGCAGAGTCTTCTTTAGGTGCTGGGCTTGAGAGCGGTGTGAAGACAAGTGCCTTGTCGGGCTCCGAGAGGCCCTCAAGTTTGCACAAGGTCCGCCTGAAAGACGCGACCATGTGAGGAGGGGGAAAAAATTTCGATGGAACCCGACCTATGAAACGGTCGTTGTGGTAGAGGGCGTGATTCGATTCAAATGCACCGAGTTTGGTGTATAGACGGTAATATACTGCATGAGTAAATTAGGCCATCATCCAAGCCAGCAGTAGAGCTTTCGGGATAGGACGCACCATAGCTAGGACCCGTCCTTTTCGTTGACTTTCCTCCTTTCGCTGCTGAATCTGTATCCCCTTTGCCGTCCGAAGAGGCTGTGGAACTGGACGTATGATCATGACCGGGCAGAGGAGACATAGCTGCTTCCAACCAGCACCTATTGAAACGTCAGCAAGATGGGTGGTTGAAGGAAAGAGTCTGAGTTATTGGACATGCCTTCATCGATCATCATCCACGAGGCATTGGCGCTTATGCTGTCACCTCGCTGGGCGCCAGAGCAAGTCAAATATTCTGAATTTGAACGAGTAGCTCCGCCTTTACTCCATCCAGCACATGCACTGGCCTTTCAAGCTCCTAACTTCCAGGGTGGAAAAGTATCGGAGCCCAAGTTCATGAGAATCCACGATTAGAGTATATGTGAGGCAGCAATAGAGGTTGACGATACAGTTCTGACGGTGCGCTGGGAGGAAGTGAGTTATTAAGGTCCAAGGAGGTGTCACTGGAAGTGGAGGGTTGACAGCACAAGCGCGTTTGAGTGCGGGTATGACGCGTACCCATGCCCATAAAATTCCATGGCTGTTGAACGGGCCTTGCGAACCTTACGATGGTCGTTATCTAGTCAGGCACACGGGCGCCTTTCCAGTCAGGGAGAGGTCGTTGGCAGGTACACGTTGACGTCATGGCGCAAAGAGGCAGTGAGCGCTGATCACAACACAACAACTTGATGAACTTGACATCAGATTCACAACCACCGCCGTCCGCCGAGTCGATCCCGCACATCCTCCACATCCAGCTTTTCATTCCCCCGCACCAGCTCAAGCGCTCACCCACCAAGGACCCTATTTCCATCGTCATCTCCAAACCCTCATGAAACACAGTAAAACCAAACGCACACACCTACGCCGTAAAACAACATCACAGTCATCCTTTTCTGCTCTTCTTCCTCACCGGTCCATACTACCATGCTCACACAGCACGTCACCAGAGCACGTCTCCAGTTGACCAAGCAGCTCCGCCCTTCCTCCATTCAGCGCATGTACTGGCCTCTCAAGCTCTCAGCTTGGAAAAGTACCAGACCGCAAGTTATGAGGAGCCACGATCATATGGGAGAGAGGTGAAAATAAAGGTTAGCGATACAGTTCTGATGGCGCGCTGAGGTGTTCATGTTGAACGCAGTGCGCTCGTATTCTACCTGACCAACACCTACGGCAACTAAGGTCGTTACACGGGCCCCAATAGTCCCCATTGTCGTAAGTACTTACTATCTGACAATATGTTTGCTTACAACGCCATACCTCGTTCAGTGGACTTTCCAATCGCCCAACCATATCCGAGTGCGGTTCGCCTCTATTCCACTTCATCTCTGACTTCGACGTCGTGTCCTTCGAGTCTACCAACAAACAAGGCGCCGTCTCCCAAACCATACCGCCTGAAGAGGTCCACGGCGAACAGGTCTTCGCCACGTCATGACGGCGAAGTTTCTCAATATGTCCCAGCCAACTATATATATACCCCATGGCTTTGTCCGAATTTCTTCGAAATTCTCTTCGATCTTATAGGACCATCTGTGCGTATCTTATGTCGTGCTCGCACTCTCACCTCTCATGAATGTTTAGGCATTGGATGAGACCCTGCTCAACGATGAAAAGCTCGCCATTGCAACACTACCAAGTACTCCGATAATCCTGCATGTCGCGGGATGGGACAGCCGATAGTACGATTTCGGCGTTCCACGACCAGGTCTTCTTGTTGTGCGAGGATGGTGTTCCTTCACACCGTTGTTCGCGGAACCTCAGGGAGTGGCTCTATCCGTTTCTTCAAAGTCGACTGTCTACTGGCGGAAGTTCAAGCAAATTCGGAGGACCAAAAGGAGATGCTCTCTGCCATCGCAGCCGTTGGCCGGCACAACAGGCTTCTCAGCTGGAGGGGTTGTTTCTTCTCAATGACGAGGTAAGCTCTGAAATCTCCTCGTTCTTCTCCTTAGAGTCCTTACCATCGTCCTCTAGAGCATTTCCTGCTTTGTTCGAATAGCTCCTTCCACCACCTTCCCAGATCAAAGATGATGGGACCCTTCATGTTGAACCTCCCGACGATTCTTGTCAACTTGCGCGAGTTTGTCGAGACCTATTGAAGGTCAATCAACTTGCGTACTCCAATCCTTTCCACCTTCGCTGACAATGCCACAGGGCATCGGAACCGTCGTTTCTCCAACCAAAGGTCGATCGCCTACTGATATCGAGGACATCAAGAACATCACCTCAAATGGACCTACCATTTCCGGTTGACATTGAATAAACAGGGTCCTCCGCCTTTCTTGCCGACCTTCTCAATGACTTTTCGGCAGGGCGTTGTCTCCAGTTACTACGACGACGAAGCTGATGAGAAAACAGCCATCGTGCACTTTCGCGACTTTCGAAGGGAAAACAATGCTAGCTCTTTTCGACGTATGTACCCCCTTCGCTTCTACTTCTCCAGGTACTGATAGACTTGACACAGTATTACCCCTCAAACACGTCTTCGACGTTGCCTTTAGATGCCCTCAATGTTGCTGTTTTTTGGTCCCAAATCTGGTTCGAGGAATTCCATCTATTGGAGTGAGTTACCGGGTTGTCTGATCCTACTACCAAACACGTACTAACCTCTCAGACAGCGATCGTTGGGTAGGCCACTTGCATTGCTCAAGCGTGGACTTCCTCCTATTAACATCACGGTGAATGGCACATTGGACGCTCAGCTGCATAGTACGCTTGCAAGAACACGGGGAAAACGAAGCAAGATACCATTGGGCTGGTCGCTGTCACAGCTCTAGCTTACGTAAGAATCGCGTCCTCCCTTTGACGATCTCTTCTTTGTCTTGTTTTCCCTTTTATACACCTATGATTTCAAAGTACGTCCTTTCTATCTCTCCCCACTGTTCCACCACCCATTTCCTATCTACAGAACGATTGCCTTCCCGCCATGCCATCGGCGGTAACTTGCCTCGGTTTCATCCTTCTGTTCACCATCATCTTCATCATCACCTCTCTCTTCTTTGCGTTCATCTATGTTACGGGTCGGTATATCTATGACAGATTATACCCTGAAACCCGCCGGACTGCCAACGATGACGAAGGCGTAACGAAAAGTCACAAAGGCTTCATTGACCGCCCGACACTACACGACGGTCTATCTGATCGTGGACACCATACGCTCCAGAATCAAAGGCAACACGTCAGCGATGCCCAGAATGTTGAGAGGTCCTTTATTGAGATCACGGACGACTCGGATTCGGACTTGGATGTTCCTTTGGTTAGTCCTTTCACACTCTGCCTTACAAGGGTATTCAACATGTCACAACGCAGGGGAGCGGAGGGACATTGCTTAACACCCAAAACGCGTCTACTCAGCATGGAATTCCTGTTGGGGTTAAGATTCCCCCCAATCCTCACGTAGATCGCAGTGCTCAGTCTCTAAGGGGACCCTGGATGTCAACGAGTAACAGCACCTTCGGT